ACTACACGACCGGTGGCCAGGTCTGAGACAAGCAGAGGCACTGCAATTTTCGGGTGACGATGGGCCGGGCCAGGCCAATCCCAGTGTCCACTCTGAGCAGACGGCACTCTGGGACACCTCACTTCCACCTGAGACCCTGCATCCACCAGGTGCAGCCAGGGCCCTGGACAGGGCAGAGCGGGTGGAGTACACACTGCACCTCTGCCCCTCCCCACTCAGCAGCTGCTCGAGGCACCTGAGCCTCAGTTTCCCCATCTCTAAAATGAATAGCTGCACAGTTCCTGCCATAATGGAGTCTGCGAGGCAGGCCGGGCGCCCAGTGCTCAGGCACAGCCGAAGCCTCTGCCTGACTCTGTCTCTAGAAGCACCCCTCTCTCTCCATGTTTCAGGGCTAGGGATTGAACCCATGGCTTTGCCCTAAGCTACATCCCCAGCCCGGCCCTTTGGTATTTCGAGACCAAGACTGGACGAGTTGCTCAATCTCCTGGTTAGGCTCAGACTCGCAGTGCTCCTGCCTGGCCTCCCAGAATACTGGAATGTCAGGCACAGCCACTGAGCCCGGCAGAGAGACAGCTTCTCACAGCACACAGTCAGGATGACACCAGGACACGCCTGCTTGGGGACACTGTCCGTGGAGATTGGAGCAGCCTCCACTCACAGTAAGCGCCTTTGAAGGGCAGATGAAGGTCAAAGATGCAGAGGGGCCACCACCAGGTCCCCAGCCCTCACCTGGCCTTGGGCGTCTTGCTATGCCCTTCCGGGCATGATGCCGGGGCCAGGGCTTCCATGGCTCCCTCCTGGGACCAGCCCCGGGCAAGGGCTGCCCGGGAGCCGTATCCCGAGCTGCCGTCCTGGTTGAAGGAGAGGCGAGAGCCCCAGAGGCGGTCCGGGCTGGGCGGGGGCTCCTTCTTGGGGTGCTCTATCTTGGCCAGGATCTCCTCCACCGTGGTGGCCGCACAGCGCTCTGAGGCCAGGCGGAACGGAGCAGGGGCTTTCCGCACACCTCCCGGGGCCGCACAGCGGGCCGGTGGGGCCAAGGGGGGCAGCTCCTCCTTCCCGGGCTCCTGAGCAGCTTCTGCAGCAGCAGCCTCGGCTGCAGGTCTTGGCACAAAGGGCAGCGGACGCTTGTTGCCCCCGTAGGGCTGGGGTCCAGCCAGCATGTTCATCTTCCGGGCGGACGGCAGCTCGGCCAGGGGGCCCCGAGGTGGCCTCGGCCCCACGGGTACCAGCAGGCTGGGTTTGGCGGGCAGGGCGGGCTTGGCGGGCAGCGCCCGGGGCTTGGGCTTGACAGGCGGCTTGGCCCGAGGGTCACCTGTGGAAAGGAAGGCCCGTCCTGTGTCCCGCCCACCGTCTCAGGGTGTCACACAACCTGCCGCTCCTCTTGGTGGCTTCCCTGGCTCTCCCCCAGAGTTCCCCCAAGCCAACAAGGGCCAGGGAAGGAGCCACCAGGCCACGCCCACTGCCCACCCCGTGGGGGCTGGCAGGTCCCAGGCAGGCTTTCTCGCAGAGGATGGCCGACCCTACGTCCACCTGCCGGCCACCTGCCGGCCACCATCCCCACCCCCTCCCCAGCCACCTCCCACTGTCACCTGGTGTGTGACCAGGAATGCAAACTTACTGTTGACCTAAACCAAACAGAAGCACTCGGCTACATACAGAGGAAATACAGGAGAACAGACGTCCACCTTCCCAAGAGGCTGTTTTAAGATCCTGCAGCTCTAAGAGCTCGGCCCTACACCACCCACTCCTTCAGGAGGCAGGGGGAAAGAAGACTACACAGGGAGCCTGGAGGCCTCCCATGCCTCAGTTTCCCCCGGCAAAGCACAGGGCTTCATCCAGATGGAGCCCTACTGCGTGGGGCCTGCGGGTGACCAGGATCTCCACGCTGCCATCCACGTGGGCACAGAGCCTTCGGACTCGGGCCACCCCACCCCAGCCCCTCGGGCACCCACTCCCCTGGTACCTGGCTCGCTGCCAGTGGGCCGGGGCTCCTCCTCCGAGTCGGGCTCCCGGGGCGCTGGGGCCTCCTGGAGCATGGTCACCTCCATTGCGCCGCTGGCGCTGGCTGCAGCCGCCTGGGAAGAGGCCGAGCTCAGTAAGTGGGGCTGCGACCCCTGGGGAGAAAGTGGGGCGAGGCAGGCAGGGCGGCTCCCACAGTCAGCCCAGGGCAGCCAGAGGCAACTTCAGGAGGGTTCGACAGTCCCCGGGCCACCTCCTGGCACTGCGCAGATCCTCTCCCGTCCCAAAGAAATGAAGTCCGGGAGCTGCGGGGTGCCACCACTCGCAGCTCCCACGGACCCAGGTCAGCGCCCCGAGGGAGGATCACTCCAGGCAGGGCAGGAGGCTGCGTCCGGAGGCTCTGGGATCTGAATCACCTCTCAGAGACGGGCAAAACCCGCTCCTCCCCAACCTGGGGCTCCGCCCGCCTGCCCGCCCCGATTCCCGGTCCCCGCTCCCCTCCCCCTCCCCTCCCTCTCCCTCCCGGCTGTCTCCTCCAAACACGGAAAAAATAAGGCAGAAAAAGTAAACATCTGGAATACATTTTTTTCTTTAATTTCTCAATCGCTTTGGCTTCAGCTTGGAATTTGATGAGGTAAAGTCAGGGCCTAGTCCCGTTGCCATAGCAATGGCCTCCCACTGGATTTCCAGAGCCGGGCCAGGAGGAAGGAGGAGCCGGCCAGAGCGCAGGGCTTGAGAACATTCAGGGCGGTCAGGCAACTGGGGGGAAAACTCCCCGGGGATCCCCCTTCCCAGAACCTCAGGATGGGGGTGGTCTGGAGTTTAGAGAGAGACAGAAGGAAGTGAACCAAGTGACAGCCACGTGGTAGTAGGGTCCCCTTCTCTGAGCTTGGGGGCAACTCTGGGCCCTGAGATTCCAGAATTCAATTGTGGGGGAGGGGTCGGTCTACTAATATCCAGCTGTATGACCTCCTGAGCCTCAGTTTCCCTATCTGAGAAGTGGGGTTCCTGGCGGACTCTAGAGATCTGTGAGAAAACTTGGCCGTTATTGCCGAGGTCCGGAAAGTGTCCTCCTGACCCCCAGACCCCAGGCCTCTGCCGTCCCACGCCACTCCTTCACCCCTCCAGGCCCAGTCCCGCGCAGGTGTGACACCTGCGGCCACCACAGGACCCCGGGCTGGGGTGAAGAGCTCCCTGCCCACCCGTTCAGGGCCAGGGGGCCGCTTGCTTCACGCGGAGCGAGGCCCAGCGCTGTCCACTCCACCGCCAGGGGTTAGAGCCTTGGTGCCCTAAAACCTGTGGCACCCGTCTCGGCGGAACGCAGCCCTGCGTCTCTGATCGTGTCCGGGCTTGTTCCAAAGACAGCAACAGCCCAGAACCCAGCACCGCCAAGCCCTCCAGCAGCCCACTCCCACGGAGGCCTGCCCACGGGCGTGCACAAGGAACGTCCACAGCCAGGCGAGTGCACAAGGCAGGGGCGCATCACGGAGAAAACAAGAGCCCAAAGCCCCAGACTGACTCCCTGTCCTTGAGCGGCAGCGCAGGGGGCACGGTGCGAGGCTGGGAAGGCAGGCGACGGGCTCGGGC